ATAATTTTTATAGAATATTTATAGATTTTTTTAAGAAGTTCAATTATACATTTTTACTTGTCTACGACCAAAAATCGAAATGGCTTGAAGTGAAATTAATGGATCAGAGCACCGTTGTTTCGGAAACTATCTCGAAATTGAAAGAGATTTTTTTCTATTTTTGGTCTGCCTGTAGAATTAGTCTCTGATAATGGTCCACCCTATAACTCAGTCGAATTTGTTTCTTTTTGTCAAGCAAATGGGATAACACCAATTAAATCTCCTCCATGGCATCCGCCTAGTAATGGTTTTGCAGAAAGGGGAGTTCAAACAGTTAAAAAAAGATCTAAGAAAAGCGTTATTCTCAGAAGGAGAGAATATCACAGAACAACAAATTTTATTAAAATTATCAAGTTTCTTGTTTTCTTATCGAAATACACCAACCACAAGGAATGGTATTTCACCAGCTGAATGCATGCTGAAACTAAGACCAAGAACCAGATTCGACTTGCTAAAACCTTCTGGTCATAGTAGACATGTTAAGGGTAGCTCTGATAATATTCCTAGAGTAAAGAAATTGTATAAACTTAACGAATCAGTTTATGTGAAAAATAAACAAACCAAGCTTTGACAGAAAGGCAAAATTGTAAAGGTTTTAAGTTTTTGTACATATTTGGTACAAGTTGACATGCTCATCAAATTTGTTCATGCAGATTCTTTGCGTTCTGATTTAGGCTTGACTGATTCAACATATAATAATGATGTTAGTGATGTAAGTGTTATACCCAATGATATTTATTGTGGTGCACAGGCTTATGTTCCCCAAACCAATGTTTTACCCGAAGTTTTACCCCAATCAGTGCCATCACAGTTACCTCAAATTATTAAACCATCAAGTGCTTCTGAGATCAAGTTCAGTCCTACAAGTTTCTCACAAGCAACAGGAAATCCTGAAGAAGTTCCACAAGTGATTCCTAAAAGTGTAACTCCAACGAAAGTCTCCCGCTATGGTAGAGTTATAAAACCCACTTACAAGCTTAACCTTTAAGAAGGGGAGAATTGTTGTGAGTCTAGCTTTAGTGATAAGGGATGTCAAGGAATGACAGTGATAGTCTGTCTTCCACGGGTCTCGAGTAAGCACGTTGTAATCATTAATTTATATTTTGCATTCTTATTAAAAGAGTTAATCAAAACCGTCTTGTTATATTTAAATACATAACACCAACAACTATTATTTTGTCGTAAATATTCAAAATCCAGTCTCCCCGATTTATTTCTTGTATGAACAACCCTTAATTTTTCTGATAATATTTTCTTAAAAATAGCAGTACTTTTAGTGCCACTGTTGATCTTCTCAACTATATTTCAACCAACTTAGATAAAGGTTGAATCATAATAGCAGTTTTTGTGGACTTACAAAAGGCGTTTGACGTTGTCAACCATACTATATATTTTATTGAATAAGTTGGAAGTTATGGGTTTTAGAGGATGTGGGCTGTCTTTGATTAGGTCTTACTTATTAAACAGGGAGCAATATGTGTGTGTGAATCAACAGGAAAGTGAAATCTTAACCTACAACTGTGTTGTACCTCAAGGATCAGTGTTGGGGCCTTTACTGTACTCACTTTATGTTCTCAGTCTGCCAGTATCTGGGTAGATGCCCAATACTATACGTTTGCAGACGACACTGTTCTATTGTATACTGACCACAGTTGTGACATTCTGGTTGATTAAGTGAATAATGACTTGTGACTTGACTAAATATAGCCAATGGCTATTACAAAATAACCTTAAGATAAATTTGGCCAAAACAAACTACATAATATTTAAATAAAAAAACAAAAATTTAGAGCAAGTTAACATATCCCTAAATGGATTAAAGCTAGAAAGTGTGAACAGCGTAAAATACTCAGGACTTATACTGAATGAAAATCTTGAATGCCCACATCGAGCACGTGAAAAACAAAATTATTCCTTTCATGGGAGCATTTCACAAATGTAAACAATTTTTAAGTAATTCAACAAAATATAAAATATATAATGCTTACATCCTTTCAAACCTACGATACCTTATACCAGTATGGGGAACCTGCAGTGAAACTAGCTTTCAAAAAGTTAAAGTTCTGCAAAATAAAGTACCTACTTAAAATTCAGTTTAATATTGACTACTTTATGCACACCAATGAGATATATAAATTGTTAAAAATACAGTCAATTCCAGATTCGGGAGTTAGAACAAGCAAAACTAATTTTTAAAATAATCAATAACCTCCAAAAATTAAATTACACAATAGTTCATTCAAACGACATACACACATATCACTTATAAAGGCACACACTATTGATAAAGCCTCACAGGTACAATTTTCTACAATTTACAACAACCTGTCTATTGAAATAAAGCAAGAATTCCAATATCACAAATTTATTAAAATGCTAAAGCTGAAATTCGATGATTGATAGATATATCTATAAACCAAACTCCGTTACCAATGCTACAAATGCATTGTCTAGGAGTTCAGTTCATCGACCTAAACATAAGTTAGTATTATTATTATATGTTTATATCTGAATATGGTTGTTATGGATTGTTTGCTTAATAAATGATGTATTTCAAAAAAAAAAAAAACTTGAGAGCCTCTGCTATTGAGTCCAAAAACGATGTTTAAAGGCACAAAAAATACATGTTGCATACATACACTTGCTCTTTTTTTTTGGAAATATTTATTATTATTGTTACATATCTTAAAAATCTCTTTTGATGTTAGGAGTGAAGTTTTTCATAAAATATCAGTTATAAAACTTTCGATTCACGGTTATTAAGCCTTAATTTTTTGACTTGCTTTTCAAAAGTGAATTGATCCAGGAAAATTCTGAAAGTTCTTTGATAGAATGCTGAAGTGTGCCATAAAAAATGTGATTTTGGCCAGTTTTCAATAATAAATTGTAGTTTCTGCATAGCTATTTGTACCACTTACTTGGGAAAGAGCTATAAATTCAAGGTACTATCTATGCATTTGGCTATAAATGTTTTCAATAACTTCCTCTTAACAATTTGAATTATGTTTCACTGATATCCAGGACAACAATTCGTGGTTTGATTATTTCTTTTTGGTAATCGGTGTCCCCTGGGGAGGCCGTCCACCATAATAGGTTAGGATCCCATTTGTTGCATTGAATATACTATATACGGTAAGTGTAGCAGTGGGGCACTACCGAATACCGGCGAGAAATGGTTTAATTGTGATTGGCTGTTGGCTGTCAGCTGCACAATGTGGTTTCAAGTGAATTCAGAATAGAATAACTGAATGCTCTCCAACTTTGCCAGTAAAATTTTGTCATGTTTTCCAGATCAGCTTCACTTTAATAATTATTGAGAAAATCGACTTGAAAGTTTTAGACAACATTTCAACTTTGAAGCTCAATAACTTAATATATCCGTTTGAGCCCTTGATGTGAAATTTAGCTCAATTCGTAGAGAATTTAATGCTCTTTAAAATGGTAGATATATAATTTATGTCAATTTATTTCAAAATTATCGACAATATGATATGTGCAATATTCCATAACCATGTCATAATTTCAAAAAATTGACCCACCCAAAAATAAGATTTTCTTCTTGTTCCGGTAGAGGACTACAATCCCTGAAAATTTCAGCTCATTTGGACTTATAGTTTCAGAAATAAAATCGCCTTAAACAATTTGGAGTAAATTTATCATTTTCCAATGTTTCTGACTGTATTTTTTCATAGAATCCGGCTCCAAATCTTGGAATAATTTAGTGCATGGAGTTTGGGGGGTCTCGAATGATGATTTACACACAAAATTTCAACATAAAAAAAAATTGAAATTTCACCATTTCAGTACTAAGGGAACTCCCTTATGATTTGTTTTGTTGACAATTTTGAAAAATCATAACTTTTTCTCTTATAGATAGTAAGCTGAAATTTTCAGCGATTCTTATCCCAGTAGAGGACTACAATCCCTGAAAATTTCAGCTCATTTTGACTTATAGTTTCTGGGATAAAATCGCGTTGAGCAAATTTATCATTTTTTAATGTTTCTGAGTGCCTTTTTTCATAGATTAATCTGAGAATAATTTAGTGTATAGAGTTTTGGGGTTCCCAACTACTACTTACATAGATTGAATCGCATCTGATAATCTATTTTTCTTCAAAACTGCTGCAGCAATTTTTCTAAATCTTCTATTTTTCCCTTCTATAAATAAAACACTAACAAATATTACGATTGCATATAAAATAAAACAAACCTTTTCTAATTTCCTCATCAGTGCTCTCACTTGTAGACCCAAACCTCCTCACCAGCCTAATGGAACTTCGAACGCTCTTACTCCAAACTCTTCTGAAGCCAGTTCTAGTTGTTTTTCTGAGTTCAACATTTTCATTTTCGGATTCTGATATATTTGAATAATCATTTTGCAATGAAATCGAATCTGAGAAGCTAGACCTTCATTAATAATTACAACTCGAAAAGTAGGTACTTACATACCTAGAATCCATATTATGAGCTAAATTCTCCTGACTTTCGGTTAAGTAATATTTTTTCCTCAATAAAGTCACTCTAAGTCCAAACGGTTTTCTCAATTTTGTTTCACCCTCAGTTGCACTGACGAGTTTCACAATTGAAGTAATTTTACTTCGTACTATTTTTCTAAAAGTTTTATCTGGTTTTCGATCCATAATAATCATTTGCCACTAATAAATAACCAAAACCTGAACTGTTTATTATCAAAAATTATATTTTCGATAATAATTTACTTATAACTGCGTATATGACAAATTGTTCAAATATCGAGGAAGTGACAAAAAAAAAATGGATTATATAGGCATTACTTAATCTTATTATTTTGTTTTTATCTATAATTTTAACATAGATAGTGTACATTTAAATAAAATATAGTTTAATCATGATTAAAGTGTTTTTTGTATAATTAAAAGCTGTTAAATTGCTAGAAGCTATTCTGCGAAAAAAAAAACTAATGTTCATTGGGCAAAAGAAACAAAAAACTATTTTATTTTAAACATTTATTTGGTTTATATTTATATTTACAAAATTATAATGGTTAAAATTTAAACAAAATTAGCTTTTATCGACTACAATGTCGTAACTAATAATTATTATAAATAAAATTAATCAAACTTTAAAAAAATGCCTATATATCTACAAACTTCAAAAGTATATTTTGAAAAAAAACCACAAAATAAGTGATTAATATATCAAGCATAATTACTTATTGGAAAATGCAAATTTTCTTTATCTGTATAATAATTCTTAAATCTACAAACTAAATTCTATAGTTATAGTGATCTTTGGTGTCTCAACCTGTGTTTAGTTAGAAAAATAAATTTCCAACAAGAAGGAAATGTACAATAAGCTTTTAAATAAATAATTATGATATACCCTATAATAATGTAGGTACAAAGAGAATCAATAAAGCTCCTTGTATAATAATTCATATTATGGTAAGTTATATAGAGTATGATTTTTGTTTCAATTTTATGTGGCACCAATTAAAAATTTGTTAGGAGCTCAACTGTATAAATTAACTATAGCTTTGGGATTTTCAAAAGGGAATAATTTATAAAAAAGAGGCATTTATTATAAAGATTCTAAAGGATCTGTAGCCTCCAAGACTACTTGAATTTTCAATTAAAACTGGACCACAAATAAACAATACATTTTTACATCTATAGCAGCCATTTGAGCTTAAAAGCTTCCAGAAGTTTTATATAATATGTGCGCATAAGTTCCAAAAATTTAAAAATCAATTTGGATCGTTGTGTTGTCAATACCAAGTTCCAATCATACATATATAATTTCAATTTTCTGGCTAATTGTATTAACTAATAATAATTGTGATTGGAACTTTATTCTTGAAAATGTTGATATTTTCACATTGTACTGAAATCTATAATAAAGAATTAAATACCTATGCAAAAATAAAACCTTTTACATTACTATACACTTATAATAGGTATGTAGTTCAAAAACCAAAAACAAGAAAAGCTTATTTCCTATATTCTATGTACTAATAAGTTTTAAAACATTTATAAGATATTTTTATATAATTGGTACTTAAATTATGACGATCTCATTTGAATTTTTCATATCACAAACTCTTAAATAAATTTTAAAAAAAAATGTTCAATTTTCCTATGCGCTAAACGCAAACCCTGACCATTTATTCGATTTTGTCCCTCTAAACCAGTGACATTTAATATTGTACACATGAAAGCATTATTATAATAATTATGGGGGCGTGCTGATTTGGACAAAATTTAAAAAATTACTCCTTCAGTTTGTGCCAATCTGCGATTTGTCTTCTGGGCGAGTTGCAAACTTCGTTCCAGTGAGTCAAAGCGGAGCCTGTGCATTTTCCTCCTCCCAATTCAAGCCGTCCAATAACCTAAAAATTGGAAAATTGGTAATTTGTTTTTGTGAGAACCGTTTCAGAACCAGTAATTTCCAGTTGTCACACCTATTTTTCAATAAGTTGAACATTTATCCTAATTGACAAATGAATTGATTGACTGGAAATTACCGTCATATCTGTTGGAACAGAATTATTAAAGAGTACCTCGTTTTTGGTAACTCGGTCCCAATCCAGTAGCAAAAACTCCAAACTGATGCCGTCCAAAGTTTGTCCGTTGGCCGGTATATCGAAGACAAAGCTCTCGTTGAAAACTGGCATCAGTGTCCTTTTCTTTACGTGGGTTTTCTTTTTGGCGATTCGTTGTCCGTTGTAGAGAAGATAGATCTTGACGTAGGGATCGGCTAAACCTGCGAATTCACAAGATTTGGTATCTTTAAAACATGGTGCAATTGAACTAATAATGAGTGAAATTTCTAATAGTATGAAGTATGATATTTTATCTATATAAATACAAATTCAATGTGAATAAATTGGGGTTCTAGAAGATTTCTAAAAATATTGAATTCAGGAAATAATATCATTCTTCTTTTTCTTATTCTAGGTTAACGAAGCAAAATTTTCATTATTATGTGTGAATTTTATTGGTTTGGTGCTGTATAATCTTTGTCTCTAATGCAAATTCTAATGTAAACAGTCTACTTTGAAAAAATGTATCTCAAATCTGATCTGAAATCTTTCATCATTATGTTTTTGATCATCCCAAATAGCTAATTTAATGCTCAATGCCCCTTTTCAATGTTTCTAATTATTTTAGAATGATATTGTACCTGTAACATCCATTTTAGGCAAATTTCTAGCCTTGAGAACCACAACAGTCAAACGATTAGCTGCAGGCTGCCAGCAAAGCGACACCAAAAGCTCGCCACGTCCCTGAGACCTTATCTAGAACAATAAAGCATTAACAAATTACTCACAAAGTATTATCATCTACCTTAAGACTCCTAGGTTGTATTTCTCTGCACAAAGCCATCTGCTGAGTCTCAATCTGAGCGATGTCCACGTTGCTCAGAGCGCAGAATACTTCGCCGATAATGTCGTCGCGGCTGTAACGGTCGAAACTCAGAATGACAAAGTGTAGAGTGATTGAAGGTAGTTGGTTGAAGCTGATGCCGTAAAAGGTGAAATCTTCGTCGTAGACTGGGTTACGGGTTTTGCGTAAAACACGAGTTTTAACCTGTGGATCAGAAGTTTACTTTCAGTTAATTGGATCAGATCTTAAAAATTGATATTGTCTTAGTTCAAAATTTGATTGATTACAATCGTCCTATCAATAATTGGAATCGAATCAGAAGAAAAATCAGCTTGTTAAACTTGTTTCAGAAATAAATTCTGGCCATTGCACTTGCCTCAGAAATGAATCATTGGGTAGGTAAGTAAGAAATATCATTATACCCAATTATGATCATGAAAAGGTAGGTACCTACTGACAAAATTTACGTACTGATAACAGCGTCTGCAGCAACCTGGAGTTAGTCACTAAACTTCCAAAATTTGGTTGTTCACTCGTTTCAGCAATGAAATTGTCTCATAACAAGTGCTTCAGAAAAAAATCAGATCATTACATTTGCCTCAGAAATAAATAATGTCTATTACAGATTCAAATCTGCTCCTTACAGTCGCCTCAGAAATGAATACAGCTCGTTTCAGTAGCCTCAGAAGAAAATAAGCTCGTCATACATCTAAATGAGTTGAAAATCTGTTTTGCTAAACTTTGTCCAAATATTATAGAATCTCTTCATTTCAATCGTTTCAGAAAAAAAATCAGCTCATAATAATCTCCTCAGAAACGACTAATATTGTCAAATATGTATAATCGCTTTATACGAAAACCTGCTCATTACATTCGTCTCAGAAATACATTCTGCTCATTGCATTTGCCCCAGAAATAAGTCAACTCTTCAGGTAGAAATCTGTTTGTTACACCTGGTAATAAATTCCCTACTTACCTTATGTTGTTTATCAGGTAACAATTGCAGTTTGACATACGGGTCACTGGATCCAGTATTCGGATCTTTGGCAGGTAAGTCCTTGCATCTTACCACAGACACTATCAAAGCGTTTTTGTCGTGTTTGTACCTGAAACAAAACTTTTCCAGGTAAAAATTAATTTATCCATTGAACAATTACTCACCTAAGTTTGAAAACCAGTTGTCCCAAATATGCAACGTTTTGTTGTAGATTCTTTTCGTTGGTTTCTTGTTCTTCTTTTGTGGGTGTTTGACGTTCGTTTTCGGTAGTACAAGTGTCTTTGACAACCTGAAATAGATTGTTCAGACAAAAAGATTCAATATTTGTTGAAATTTACCTGATTTTCTGGTTTTGGTTCAAAATGCTGATGACTGGACACTCCGCTTTCCAGAGGTCCAACAATGCCAGTGGGACTTGGAGTATGAGGTGCTGAAATCTGTAGAAAAAAAATAATGATTCTTGAATCAATTCAACATTCTATATGATCAAATTGTATAAAACATTATCCTTTGATTCTTCTTACCCCAGGTGGTGTTTTAGCATTTCCAGTAGGACTGGGACTTTTTTTCAAATAATGAGTACCGGTACCGGTTCCTGCCGGAGATTTCACAGCAGTCGGTCTGCGGTGGGAATGAAAAGCTAAGGGTTGATCTGGACCGGTGCGTTTGGCGTTGAGGCGTCTCCGTTTTTGGTAGCAATAGTAAGTACCCAGTAGTACCAAGAGGGTAAAAGTCACTCCTCCGATGCAGAGCCCGATGATCGAGTAGTTGACTATGAAGGGAATAAGTTTTTATTTTATTATCGCTAGGAGTTTAACTTCTTTTTAGTGCCTGTAAAATAATTCACCAAGCTTGGAATAAAAAAATAACGAAAATTTACATTTTCAATGTAGCCCCATAGGGATTCAAAGTCAAAAAATTAAAGAAAGCGAGCAGAAAGGGTTAAATTTCAAGCTTTTTTCTATACACTTGCAAAATTTCAATCCAATCCCTTGAAAGTTTTCCTCAAAAAGTAGCATAAAACGTCCCTCAATGTTATTTTTAGAAAATTTGATTGATATGGACGCACATTTGTTCTCAGTATTTTGTTAATTTTAATCCGATCTTAACGTAATTAGACTCAAATTGAAGCCAATTGAATTTTCTACGAAACTTTGTACTACTCAATAATGCAACCACAATTCTTTTTTAATTTCGCAGAGTATGGGAAAAAATCTTAAGTTTTTTTTTGTAATTAAAATGTCTATTTCTTTATTTTCTTCTCATTTATTCCGTTCCAATTTCTGTTTATTCCTGGGTTTTGTGAATTTCCTTTATGTTTTTTTTTGTCTATGAAACAAAAAATACGAAAATTCAAAAGCCTGGAATAGACAAAAATTGAGACGAAAAAAAGAGAAATCCCAGACAGCACAATACGTCATCTTTTTTCTGCATTACATCTCAACGTCTGAAGACCAAAAAATTAGATTTAGCCAGCGGCTATCATCAGATTCCAATCGGAAAGTCGTCAATTCCCAAGACTGCATGATGGCCATTACGAATATTTGCGTATTCCTTTTGGATTGTGTAATGCTTCCGCATTTTTTCAAAGAACAATTAATAAACTTCGATATTGAAATGGTAATGTGATATATGAATTATATGCTACTGCCCCAAATAGACTTTGAGTCTGGTTTAGTCATGTTGCAAACAGTGTTAGAGCAGTTGGTCTAACTTTAAAATTATCCAAGTGTCAGTTCTTTATGGAGAGAATGGAATATCTTGGTAACGAGATATGCAGATCCGATGTTCAACCAGGAAAACATAAATCTGAAGCTATTGAAAGCTATCCAGTCCTCACGGATGTTCATAAAGTTCGACAGTTTGTTGGGTTAGCTAGCTACTTTCGGAAGTATATACAGAACTTTGTTGCGATCGCTCGTCCTTTGACATCCCTAACGAAAAAGGATGTTACATTTTCTTGGGGTATTGAACAAAGTAAAACTTTTGATACTTTCCTCCCAAACCACCAAGGAAGAACAGAGATACCACTCTTACGAACTTGAAACCATAGCTGTGGTGGATGCACTCAAACATTTTCGAGTATATCTTATTCGATTCAAGGTTGTCACAGATTGTAATGCGGTCAGAACTACGCTCTTTAAACGAGATTTGATACCTTGTATTGGAAGATGGTGGCTCTCAATCCAAGAATTCACATTCAATATTGAATACCGTACTGGTCTTAAAATGGTACATGCTGATGCACTTAGCCAGAATCCTATGTAACGAGTGCGGATATTTTCGTCTGTCGGTGATATTGATATTTTTAATGAGGACTGGGTACTCAGTGCACAACTGGCTGACGATAGATGCAAACTCATTTCAGAGACATTGGAACAACAACCTAAGAATCGTGAGGAGCAAAACCTTTACAAGGACTATTGTTTAGAAAATGGTAGACTGTACAAAATAACGGAAAAAAATCAGAGAAAATGAGCTGTACCAAGGTCAGTGAGACGGCAAGTTCTCTTATATTTTCATGATGTCATTGGACATTTGTCAATTCTCTGTATTTTTGAATTAATGAAAGTGGCATTTTCCAAATTTTTAGTGCAATTTTGTATAATTTTTCATAGAAAATAACTCCACATTTCAAAAATAATCAAAGTAGGCTTTTTGGGCGGCCATTTCAAAGTTAATTCAATCCCTATGGCGGCCATGGTCAAATAATGAAGGATTTCATTTACCTTCAGTTCAGACGACCGTGACGTTTTATTTTTATCATAAAACTGCTCCATTGCCTGAAAAGGATAATTTTTGTAGTTTCGTAGTGTATAAACACAAAAGGCAAACACATCACAGATGTTTGGCCGTTGCCGCCATATTAAATTTATGTTTTGACAAGTCGTTGTATTGTTCTATTGCATTTTGATGGTTTTATACGAAAAATAACGTTTTTTTGTGGTGCAAGGGATTGAATTTTTGGTAATTTTTAAAGAAAATCTGATTTTTCATCAAGAAAAATGAAAATTATCCGTTAGCTAACTTCACGTTTCGAAAACATCAAAGTAGGATTTGGACGGTCATTTCAAAATGAAACCATCCAACCAAGGATAATACACACTACTACTACAGACAATAAATCTGAAGCCCCCCACCATGCCAAATCACCAGTTGTGACGTAGGCAGCTTTTTTCGCCTTGACGTACGCTGTTTGCACGACAGGTTATGATTCCGCGGGCTTCTGCTTCATGCATACTTAGTTTTACTACATTAACTAGCTGACCCGGCGAACTTCGTACCGCCTCTGAATTATTAAATATACCTATTAAATGTTGTGTTAACGTATCTATTAGCTGAATTAAATTCAGTTTTTTTCGATGCTGAATTTGGCTTTGGTTGAAGAAAATTAATGTTTACTCTCTGGATCAGAAGGCACCTAAAATTAAAATTTTACATCATCCTTTTTTAGGCAGCTTGTGGGCATTATTCTTGTAAAGTGTACCACCAAATAAATAAACTCAGGCACAGGAATGTTCAAAGAATGTAAAGAAAACAAAAAAAATCTGTAGAGCAGCCCTATTTCACTCTATCTGCACTGCATGCACTGCACTACTCCATCTGTTCTACTCTATCTGGACTACTCTATCTGACCTACTCTTTCTGCACCACTCTATCTGATCGGAATAGTGGAATAGTTCTGTACAGCATTGTTCTACTGTATCTGCAATGCCGAGCTTCGTTCCAGGTATCAGAGATGGCGCGGTATACAAAATACAAAATAAACTTGGTATCGGTTATAAGACATGGCGCCGTATGCGGGCTTAGTATTTTTTTTTCATAAATAAATAAATAAGTAATGAAATGACCACATTAATGACATAACAACATGCTGGTACTGTCAACGCTGGAAAAAGTTTGAATTTGACAGCAAAATGATGCTCCATTTATTGAATAATTAATTTATTACAAAAAAATGTGATAAATGAAGAACCGCTCGACCGATTTTGTGCAAACTTCACATAAACCATCTAATAAATAGTCCGAACAAAGCCTAAACATTTGGTTTGGCTAGGTGAGTCCGTTCTTGAGTTATAAAATTACAACGAAAAGTGGCATTCATTTTTATATATATAGATTATCATTCTAAAACAACTCTTTTTTTTAGATCTCGTTGTCATCTTCCTCTTTGCCTATTTTGTTAATCAAAATTAAATAATATTTTTCATCATAATTTAAATTCTAAACTACGACCTCTAGTGCAAACAGCTGACGACTTGTTAATGACGTCGGAAAGGGTGACACACCAATATGGCGGCGATTACCAAAAACGAAGCTGATAAGCCAAGGTTGTTTGAGAGAAGTAAGCCTGATAACTTTATGACGTCATCTGGGGTGCCTCAACATAATGCAAATCTCCATAAGGCACCCAAGATGCGTCATCAAGTTACCCATTACCAGGCAACCTATTAACTTTAGGAACTTTGCGATAAGCAATCCTTTAGTAGTGTGTATTATCCCTGCAATCCAAAGACCTGTCAAAACATATACATTCAATATGGCGGTCAAACATCTGTGATGTGTGTTTGTTTTTTTTGTTTATACACTACGACAATACGTGAATTAGCTTTTTCGAGCAATAGAAAATCCACGAATTACACACAGAGAACAGTTTTATGATAACACGGTTGTTTGGGAGGTAAACGATATTTTTGGCGCTAATTTCATTGTTTGACCATAACCGCCACATTGGGTTTTGATATTTCTATACATAAACAATAGGTATATGACATCAGGGATGTGCGTCTACACGTAGACTTTCATTGTCTACTTTACGTGTAGACAATGTAGACAATCTAGACAACGTGTCAACAATGTAAAATAATATAAATGACGTTTAATTCTAACCTCACACTTTCCTTTTCAAAAATTATTTTTATTTTATTATCGGTTTTCCTCATATTTATAATCAGTGAATAGTGAATGCTGATATCAAAGTGATAGGTATAAGCTACTATTAGGTAGTAGTAATTTTGGAATTTTTTTAAAATTTTCTAAAATAAGTTTATTGTTTACGTCACCTGTAGACAATGTGTAGACAAATGCCCACGTAAACAATTCGAATTGTCTACAGTCTACACGTAGACAATCAATTGTTTACGTTGACATTGTCTACAGGCACATCACTGTATGACATAAACACGCATCGCAGATGTTTGACCATTGCCACCATATTGAATTGATGATTTGACAGGTCGTTATATTGCCTTATTGCGTTTTGTTAGTTTTATACGAAAAAGAACGTTTATTGGGGTGCAAGATGCAAAGAATTAGGCAATCCAACGACCTGTCCAAATGGCGTCTGGTTGGCAAACAATAAACAAAAAACATATGTTTTTTTTTTTGACAGGATTAAGCCTAGTTTTCATAACGGCGAAAATTGCTCTTCTTTGACATTACTTCGAGAATATGACGTTTAATGCGTGAATCAAATGTCAACTTGTCGAAACAATGTCAAAAAAGAGCGAATTTCGCGGTTATAAGTACTAGGCTTTATCAATACACGGGGCGAATACTCAAATCTGACATCGTTGACATATAACAACCCGTATTCTAACCTCACAAAAATTTCAAAATGCCGGCTGGTTGGCAAAAGTCACGTGGTTTGGATTCCCTAATTGCCAAAAGTGAAGTGATAGTGAAAATTATTCATTATAGCTAACTTCACGTTCCAAAAACATCAAAGCCGGCCTTGGGCGGCCATTTTAAAATTGTGGTTTTTGGTCGTCATTGGTTTTTCTCGAATATTTTCCGATTTTCAATAGATTTCAGTGCGGAAAATGTTTCCTATGATATGAGGAATTGGATTTTCCATATTCAACTAAAATGCCATTATTTATAGAAAATATTCCCATGGTAAGTGGAAACTGTCATATTAGCTACAGTGGCGTCAATTGCCGTCTTATTTTTGAAATCCTATATGTTCATATTGAAAATTGGCAAGAATATGGTTCTATATTCACCAATGAAATATTCAAAATTAGTAAAAATATGGCGTCAAAATCTTTATTGTCGCAACTGTAAAGGTGTATTGAATCCCTGTAATATCAGCTAACTTCACCTTTCGAAATAAACATCCAAGTAGGCCTTGGGCGGCCATTTTAAAATTGTGTTTTTCAACAAAAATGGCCGTAGAAATATTTTGCCTGCTTGGTTTTTCTCGAATATTTCTCCATTTCACTGGGGAAAAGTGTTTTGAAATGAGTTTTGTAGTGCGAGGTGTCGAATTTTCCATAATTTGCACGGTAATTTTCAAATAAAATGCCCTTTTTCTTACCAAAACTCTCCATGGTAAGTTGATTTCTCCAAATCATAGCATATCTAAATAGTGTATTGATTGATATAGGCAGCTAAGACAAAGTGAAAATAATTTGTATTACGATTTCATGAAATATTTTCGCTAAAGAATCTAGCAAAAGCAAAGTTAGATTAGCGCTTCTGTACTATCTGAGACACCTACTACAAAAGTTTTGAAATTTCTCCTTCAGCAGTTTTCCAGAATAACATGGTTATGAGAAAAGGTTCAATTTTGTTATATCTTTAATTTTGATTTTCACAATTTTAACTTAGGTATGTTTTTCCCATGGATGGTAGGTATTTTTATTCGAAACCAAACTAACCTATAAACTGTGTAAACCATACTAATCCATTAAACTCAGTAGCTCGTTAATAGATGGCGACACGTATTTTACATGTAGCTGGTTAATTACGTTTACACGGCCAATAAAAACGATTTGTAAATATTCCAATAATGAAAAGGTCAATTTCAATAATTGATTTTTTGCAGGAAAAAACAAAAATATACCACACAATAAATTCAACAATCAAACTTTTGACAAATCAAGTTATAGAAGTCTTTACTTATTTCAATCATAATTTATTATATTTTACATAGATCCAAAACAAAATCCTTACCTCCATGTACAGGCTTAATAATAGGCCCGTCCTCGGCCATATTTTCTCAATCCGAACGACTGAGCCGTTCAGAGCCTCAAAAAAACACCTCAAACAACTCACTACTTCAAACTTTGATATCGAAATCGCGTTTCAACTTAAAAATCCCGATATTTCAGACAAAATATTCTCGGTAAGACCTTTTAGTCATCCTATAAAGTAAACTTTGCTGCTACGAGGGAATCAATATAAGGGGGTTGAAGCTTGCGCTGTCCTAGCAGGATGACGTCACTGGCGCTTTAGGGGATGATATTTGAAATTAATTTATTTTATTAAAATAATAATAATTAAATAAAGACACAATCAATTTTTGAAAATAATTATTATTAATAAACAAATTGGCACATTTATTAAAAGCCTAAAAACAATTACATTTCCCAACTAAAAAAAAAAAAAAAAAAAAGTCAAAAATATTTTTTATTTATATAATATAATATATATGTGATCTTAAAATGTAATTTATATAAATGATGGTGCATTATATTATTATTAGACAATACATCAAAAAAAAATACAATTATACACAAATTTTTCCTTGAATCTTGAATGATGGGTATTTTTCTTTTAATAACCAGCCAATTCGGCGAAAGTGGCGTCCATTTCACCAGCAAGGGACTTGTATCTGTCTTTGTTGATACCCAATTCGTCTGAAAAATGATTTAATAATTTTTAAAACAAAATTTACGTTTGAAATACAACTTACCACAATAAGCGTTGAAGCAATAAGCAATAAATATTATTAGGCATTAAGCAGGAAAGCTAAATTATACTTAGTGTAAAATGGATGAAGGTAGGTATATACAAATAACTTAATAATAAAAAAAAAAATGAAACCCCCTAATAAAAATGTATTTTTGTCTAATTAAAAATGAATGTATTATGTTTGAATGAAATTGGAATAAAAAAATTGTCTACTTCTTCTGTCCCAAAGAAGACATTTCGACAAAAGTCTTGTCTATGTCTGTAACAATGCCCATATACTTGTTCTTTTCCTTGAACACAAAATCTGGAAAAAAAAATGCAAAAGCAAATAGTTAGTTGAAGCAATAAGCATCAAAGCAAAATCATCTCATCATATCCAAATTATACCTTCGAGCCTGTCGACTTCCTTTTGCAACTTCTTGACGGTCTTTTCGGCGAATTCCGCACGAGCTTCGGCTTCCTTTAGTTTAACAGTCAAAGATTTCAATTGCTTCTTGAACTCTTCGACTCTCTGGTTAGCCTTTTCTTCGGAAACTTCCAAAGATTTCAAAGAGTTACCGACGACTTTCAATTCTTCTTCCAATTCCATGATCTTGGCATCACCACCTGAAATTTGTTTGAATTTTTGTTATATTTGTTACAACAAGAAATGAGAAGCAAGTAGATCAATTTTTCTCAAAATTATTTTTTCTATTTCTCAATTTTTGTCTCATTTTATCTTTGAATGAAGAAAACCCGGTCTAAAAAAATTTGAAACCTTCAAGTGCCTGCAATTTTCTCAATTTCTCTCTGTCCATTTTTCAATTATTTCGTCTCAGTTTTTGTCTATTCCTGTATCCTTCTAATTAGAGAAAATTCAAGAGGCTGTAATAGGAAATGAAAGATTTTTTCTAAATTTGCTGTCTTCATCATTGAGACTTTTATTGAATTTTATCCACGTTTTTCCCTAAGGCCTGGTTTATTCACTTTCTGATAAACTGTCAGGTAATGCATTCTGACGGATAAAATTGGAATCTATCGTCGGCCGTTTATCCACCGACCAATAGGATTATAGATTGGTAAACTTATCTTGTAGACAGTTACCAGTAATTTTATCTAAAGATGAATAAACCGGGCCTAAGAAGTGAAAATTCAAGAATTCCAGATTAAAAAAAGAAATTCAAGAGTCTGGGATAGAAAAATTATGGTCTCCAATCCAATTATATCTCAATTTTTAACAAATTTCTTCTCATTTTAATTTTTTGAAGTGAAACTTTTTAGGCAGCGTTCTAAAATATTTGGACGATATTAGAGAGTGATTTCAAAAACGCGTCACGGGCAAATTTCGTTACTTGAGAGAGAAGAAAGATATAACGTAAAGAGACGGAGAAAGAAGGATATAGACTGACACAAACCAAGGACTATAAGCACAAAGAGGATTGTCTATTATTGACAAGCACCGATATTGACACAAACCAAGGATTTTAAGCGTAAAGAATGTTCAATTATTCAATGTGAAGAAAAACACCAAGTCGTGGTAAGTCATAGGTTGCCTGGTAATGGGTTACTTGATGACGCATCTGGGGTGCCTCACGGAGATTTGCATTATGTTGAGGCACCCCAGATGACGTCATAAAGTTACAACCTACTTCTCTCAAATAACCTTCGTCGCAGTCTCAAAAATTTTGAGACCACGAGTTGGTGTTTTTCTTCACATTGAATAAAGTAAAGAGAATTGCCTATTAATAATAAACATTGATATATCAATACAAACCAAGGATTATAAGCTTAAAGAATATTGAATATTGCTTATTATTGATAAGCGCCGATAACATTGTTACGTTACTATATTCAGTTATCTTTTCTTCTACTCATTTAAACGGTTTAAAACTATTGACATTTATTACTATTATTGATTGAGTGATGACACTGATAGATGACAATGACAAATGAGTGAAATTTGACTGACAGGTGACTTTGACAGACGACGTCATCTCCTTCGGAAGACGGAGCATGGTGAACGAATCAACTATATCTACTCATTCCAAATTCACTCGCGCCTTTTCCAAAATTTTGGGAAACTTAACTGGATAATTGCTGTTCTGCAAGTAAAGACTGTTTCACACTTTGATCAGTAGCAAATGCAGGTGTGTAGTGTCGTGCACTTGCAGTTAACAAAATGTAAACCGGGCTTAAGTGCACTTGGACTTTGTCAACCGGGATTAACTATACTCCTAACAGGGCTGGGACTCTGTAAAGGCTCATTTACATCTACTTAACTTAACGTACGGAAAATTATAATTAACGTACGAAACTGAGAAGGCGTTTGTTTACAATGAACTTAATTTTCCTACGTGTAATCACCAATGACATTGATAATAACTCTAGTTCAATATGTCTGTCATTCATAATTATTATTAAAATTAACGTACGGATTTCCTTAACTTGCAGTTGGTTCAACTTTTTGGATGTAAATGACACTTAACTGTATCTCTATTGACGTCACCTCTCTATTTATTTCTAGAAGAGAGAAGAAGATGGCAACAAGAGCCAAAGCGACAGGGTTAACGATCTACTCTATCCGTTACACAGTCCAGCCCAGATCTTTTGAACAGGTGCTCGATGGACCTTCGGTTTGTTCCAATTGGGTTCAAAATTGAATTTTTGATAATTCTCGACTGTTGATTGGCTCAGAAATTTAATTTTCCCGGCTCTTGATTGGTTTAGAAATTATAATTTTGAATATTCTCAGCTCTTGATTGGCTTTCAAAGTCAATTTTTGAATTTTCCCGGTTCTTATGATTGGGTTTGAAATTGAATTTTTGATTATTCCTGGATGTTGATTGGGTTTAATTTTTTATCCCATTTTGACGTTTAAAAATGACAATATTGAACGCATAACAATAAAGGTAAGTAGACGTTTATCACCTCAGTGATTTAAAAACATTTTGACTCACTCTCAGCATTTTAAGTCACTCTGCCCAACTAAAAATCTGAAACCTCAGTGATTTAAAATATTATTAACTCACTCCCGGCATTTTTCTTTGTACTTTATTTTTCAAATTTCCACAAAATGGGATAAAATTTTGTATACATCGCGTGAGTTAAAATGTTTATTCATTCGAAGAAAATTAACCCACTCGCTAGGGCTCGTGGGTTAAACTTTCTTCTCATGAATAAAAATTCATTTAACTCACTTGGTGTATAAATAACTATTATCATTCCTGGCTCTTGACTGGCTTAGAAATTGAATTTTTCAAATTTCCCGCCTCTTGATTCATTCAAAAATTGAATTTTTGTTTATTCTCAGCTCTTGATTTGCTGTAATTTTTGAATTTTTTCGGCTCTTGATTGAATTTAAAATTGAATTTCTGATCATTCCCGGTTTTTGATTAGCCTAAAAATTGAATTTTTTTATTTACCCGGCTCTTGATTGGTTTAGTAATCGAATTTTTGATTATTCTCGGCTCTTGATTGGTTTCAATTTTTGAATTTTTCCGGCTTTTGATTGAGTTTACAATTGAATTTTTGAGCATTCCAGATTCTTGACTGGCTTAGAAATTGAATTTTTTAATTTACCCGGCTCTTGATTGGTTTAGAAATTGAATTTTTGATTATTTCCGGCTCTTGATTCGCTTCAAATCTTGAATTTTCTCGGCTCTTGATTGGGTTTAAAAATTCATTGTTTGAATTTTCCCGGCTCTTGATTGGGTTTAAATATTCAATGTTTGAATTTTCCCGGCTCTTGATTGGCTTACAAAGTCAATTTTTGAATTTTCCTGACTCTTGATTGGGTTTAAAAATGAATTTTAAAGCGAATCAGTAACTGGGAATATTCAAACACTGCATTTTGAAACATTAAATCAAGCCAATCAAGAGCCAAGAATACTTGAAAATTGAAATTTACAGCCAATCAAGAGCCGAGAATTTCCAAAAATTTAATCTTCAAGCCAATCAAAAACCGGAATAATTTTAAAAATTAAATTTTAAAACCAATCAATAATCAAAAATATTCGAACATTGAAGTTTAAAATGTCAAATTAAGCCAATCAAGAGCCGGGAATATTTGAAAATTGAAAATTACAGCCAATCAAGAGTCAGGAATTTACAAATATTGAATTTTTCAAGCCAATCAAAAACCGTTAAAATTGGAAAAATGAATTTTAAAACCAATCAATAACCGGAAATTTTTGAACATTGAACTTTTAAACGTCTAAGTCGTCAAATAAAACCAATCAAGAACTGCGAATATTTGAAAATTGAAATTTACAGCCAATCAAGAGCCAGGAATTTACAAATATTGAATTTTTGAGCGAATCAAAAACCGAGAAAATTTAAAAAATTGAATTTTAAAACCAATCAATAATCGGAACATTGAATTTGAAAACGTCAAATTGATCCAATTCAGAGCCGGGAATATTTAAAAACTGAATTTTAAAGCAAAAGCTGGGAATAATCATTTCATTGATTTATACTTCAATACAAAATTCTTTTAGAATGTTGTTATTTTGGACAATGTTGTTATAACCTGCTAAATATTTAAACTAAGGCCGGTTTACACTTTGATTAGTAGCAAGTGCAGGTGTGTAGTGCTAGGGGATCTGTCAAGTGGTAAGTGCAAGCTACAAGTGCAAGTAAATCAAATCGTGTTCTATTTTTCTGTTTAGCAACACTCAACATGTTAAATTAACATTTGACACTAAACACTTGTAGTAAACAAAATGTAAACCGGCCCTTAATCACATGGTATTCTATTTTTCTGTTTAGTAACACTCAACATGTTAAATTAACATTTGACACTAAACACTTGCAGTAAACAAAATGTAAACCGGCCCTTAATCACATCGTGTTTTATTTTTCTGTTCAGTCACACTCAGGACCGGTTTATCTAGTTTAGCTAATGATAATTATTAGTTAACTGACAGCTAAACTAAATATCCGTTCATTGATAAACCGGTCCACAACATGTCAAATTAACATTTGACACTAAACACTTAATGCAGTTGTAACAGAATGTAAACAGGCCATTAGTTTAAAAGTTGTAGGGGGGATAGTTGAGTTTATCTTAATTTCCCTAAGGCCCAGTCTATTCACTTTCTAATAAACTGTCAGGTAATGTAATCTGGCGGATGAAATTTCAATCTATATTCCTATTGGTCGACCATTATTATCCACCAACTAAGAGAATTATAAATTGGTAGATTTATCTTGTAGACAGTTACCAGTAAGTTTATCTAAAAAAGAAATTTAAGAGCCTGAAATAGAAAAGTTACGGTCCCCAATCATATCTCAATTTTTATCAAATTTCTTCTCATTTTAATTTTTTTTCCATCTTATCCAGGCTCTTGAATTTTCGTGTTATTTCTAAATTTCTCTAAAAAGTGAAATTATTCAAGAGTCTACTGAGATAAAATCAAAGAACTTCAAGAGCCTGGAATAGAAAACTCATGTTTACCATTTTTATCTCAATTTTTATTAAATTTCTTCTATTTTTATTTTTTTTTTTTCCCATTTCTAACTTTTGTGTATTCTAAGGTACTTACTTTCCTTTCGAAACAAAAAAAAAAATCAAGAGTCTGGAATAGGAAAGACAAAGATTCTTTTCACCAAATACTTCTCATTTTGTTATTTTTTCTCAAAATTTTTTTTTCTTTCCGTTTTCATCTGGCTATCAAATTTTTATTTTTTCTCGAGACATTTCTTCAATAAGTAGAATCATAAATCAAGATCTTGGAAACTCACTCTATTACTGGAAAGTTTTGGAATTAAATTTTAATTTTCTTTACCCCTGCTTGATTTATATTATGAGATTTCGTTTTCACTTAAATATCCACAACTACTAAAGCTGTAATTACAATAAATATGAAGCTGAGTTGTATAGAGAAGCATTCCGAAACCTGAATTTACCATCTCTTACCTTTCACACGATCTTCAGCAACTTCAAGTTCATCTTCAACGAAGGCCAGCTTACGAGAAACCTCATCAGATTTGTTGTCAGCATCTTCAGCTAACATACGGGCTTCTTTCAGTTGATTGGTCAGCTGATCCATACGTTCTTCGTCTTGTTGGGAACGGTTCTCCAACACTTTGCACATACGAGAACTTTCGTCAGCCGCTTGAGAAGCTTCAGCTAATTTGGTGGTGGCGGTAGCTAAACGTTCTTCCGAACGTTCCAAATCTTCTTCAATGAGTTGGAGTTTCCTGTTTTGGGACGCCACTTCCGATTCAGCAGCTACAAGAGCTTTGTCTTTCTCGTCCAAGTCCTTGTTGGATTGGTCCAGAACGTTTTTGGTGTGGTTCAAGTCGCCTTCGACTTGGGACAGTTTTTTTTGGAGATCACGAAGCTATAATGTATTGATAAAAATATTGTTGTATAGTTTTCAAAATCAAATTTCTTACTTCTTCGTTGAGTTTATCGACGCGGGCGTTGGCGTCTTTGGCCTGTCCTTCCATCGCGTCAGCTTTGTCAGCTGCGTTGTCTTTTTCAAGCTTCATCGCTTGCATCTTCTTCTTGATCGCGTCCATGGCTGCTGAGTTTTGGTTGGTCTTCGGAGTTTAAGAACAAGAAACAAGGGGTACCTGGAACAAGAACAATAACTTTTTTGAGATCTCAAAAGTTTTCTCAAAGAGTTTTAGGAAAAATATTACTTAGTTCCAAGGAAGTCAAGTTTTATTCGTATAAATCCATTCAAAGTTTGACATCATTCAAGTTTTATTTTTAACCCAAACAAAAATAAAATTGCTTAATGTAAATGTAGGATTAATGTTTTTGGAACTATATTTTTGAAAAATGTTTGCCTAAATCCTACACGAAATTGCAACTAATGATTGGTAACAAAATCCTAAAACAATCCCCAAGCTGGAATGTCTATTATTAAATCAAAAAACGGTGTGCAATAATAATTCAAAGGCGAATTTATAAATAGCGACCCAAATTCACAACTTTGGGATTATTCCAGAGGATAACATTCCAGTGACACAATTGATAATAACAGAAATATTTTTCAGGCAAAGATGAGAAAATTTAAAAAGTTATAACAGCACAAACATGTACCTATCTATCGGCAGAAATCTGAATCTATTTTTAAAGTATTTTATAAGTTTTGGCAGCTTTTCGAGGACGTGGGTGCTACTGATGAGTTTTTAAAATAAAATTGTTTACAGTTTTTACACAAAAATAAAAAAAAAAAAAAGGAAAAATTATTTTTGGTTTCTCAATAACAATAAGTAGGTAACCCCCGGATTAGGCATAACTCCAAGGTAAATATTGCAACTGAACACGTTCACTCTGGAGCTCTGGAGTTAAAATTGGGAAACCGACCCTGAATTTAACAAACTTGATACATTATTGATAAATGAATAAATGGGCTTTTTATGAACCAAAGCACAAATTGAAAATAACTGATGGAAATTTGATGTCTATTTTATAAAACTTCATAGTTTAAGTATGCCATGTCCATTGTCCAAGTTTGGTAACGCAAAACAGAAAAATCAAAAATAGTATTTTTACGAGCCACACCAGTTAAATCTGCAAAATCTATATTAAGTAAGCCACCTAAGCGCACGCATTTAAGCCTATTTTTAGTACATTTTCGAGGTTAGATTCCACAAAATTTTTACCTTTTTCCAAAAAACCACACTTAAGTCACAAATCACACTGACTGAAATTATTAGTTGAATCCGAAAAAGTATTGAAAATTAAAAAAAAATAAAAATTAAAATCTTTGAGCACGTCTTACCTTTATCCCTGACGGCGGTTCGGTAACGTACGCTGTCCTAAAAGCTACAAAGGCGTCGCGACGCAGGGGATCAGGAATTTTCGGGAGGCGTCCGTTGGATTCCCCTCGGCGCGATCCCCACCATACGTTGCTCAACTCGAAAAAACCGCAGCACCAAAAATGTTGATGTGAGAGAATTTTTGTCATTTATGCTGCTTTTACTAATCAGAAAATGAGCTTTCAGGGTTGGCATGATACAAAAAACACCATCAATATTGACAAAACCCAATTTTGAAGCTTCAAAGCTGCAAAACTGTTGAAATTTTAAATAACAGGTCTGTAGAGAATTTAATTGGCTTCAATCAGATCCCAATTGCGTTGAGATTGGATAAAAATTAGAGGAACTGTAAGGCAAAAACTGTCTCAGTGTCATTTTTGGAAAATTTTCATTGTTCGATAAATTCAATTTTGAAGCTTCTCAGCTGCAAAACTGTTGAAACTAAATTAAAATCTTAATTAACAGGTTCGTACAGAATTTCGGTACGGTTTTAGGGTACTTATGGCCCTTATGGATTGAAAATATGAAAAAATTTGCTTCAAATTGAGTTTTTTTTTTCTAAAGATTTTCGATAGGGTTCCACTACACCTGACTACAATCCCTGAAAATTTCAGCTCATTTGGACTTATAGTTCCAGAAATAAAGCCGTGTTAAGTAATTTGGGGTGATTTATCAATTTTTCAATTTTTCTGGAGTGCCTTTTTTCATAGAATCCGGCTCCAAATCTCAGAATAATTAAGTGTATGTAGTTTGGGGGTCCCAAAGGACCATTAAGACAAAGACACAAAATCTCTACAATTTTTTTTTTGAAATTTCATCGTTTCAAGACTGAGTTAGCTACCTTATGATTTAGATTTTTTAAAACTTTGAAAGGTCATTACTTTTTTTCTATTATAGATAAAAGGCTGAAATTTTCAGTGAATCTTATTCCAGTAGAAGACTACAATACCTGGAAATTTCAGCTCATTTGCTCTTATAGTTCCAAAAATAAAGTCGTATTGAGCAATTTGGGGTGATTTATCAATTTTTCAATTTTCCTGAGTGCCTTTTTTCATAGAATTCGGCTCCAAATCTCAGAACAATGTAATGTATGGAGTTTGGGGGGTCCTAAAAGACCATTAGAACACAAAATCTCACCAATTTTTTTTTTTTTTATTTCATCGTTTTAAGACTGAATTACCTACCTTATGATTTAGATTGTGTAAAACTTTGAAAGGTCATTACTTTTTTTCTATTATAGATAAAAGGCTGAAATTTTCAGTGAATCTTATTCCAGTAGAAGACTACAATACCTGGAAATTTCAGCTCATTTGCTCTTATAGTTCCAAAAATAAAGTCGTATTGAGCAATTTGGGGTGATTTATCAATTTTTCAATTTTCCTGAGTGCCTTTTTTCATAGAATTCGGCTCCAAATCTCCGAACAATTTAGTGTATGGAGTTTGGGGAGTCCCAAAGGACCATTACGACACAATTTCAACCAAAAAAAAATTGAAATTTCATCGTTTTAGTACTAAGGTTTCTACCTTATTTTGTAAAACTTTGAAAGATCATAATTCTTTTTCTATTATAGAAAAAAAGCTGAAATTTTCAGCGATTCTTTTTCCAGTAAAGGCAGTGGCATAGATAGAGGTGGATCAAGGGGATCAATCCATATAGTGGAGCGAAATAGCTTATGAAATTTTAAAAAAAAAATTTTTGGCGTACAACCACATAAAATGCCTATATTATTATTAACTCTCTTAGGGGGCATCCGAAATGGCGATTTACGATATTTTTTGGAGGTCGAAAGATTTTTTATTTAGAAAAATAGCACCAATTTGGATAAAATCGAAAAATGTAAATTTTAAGTTCACACTCTAATATCTCTAAAACTAACAAAGCTAGGAAATCGACTTTTTTACCAAAATAAAGTCCATTTATTGGGCTTTCTAATAGACCCATACATTGCTGTACCAAAATATGTTCTATATTTTTTAAATGACGTTTTAACTGTTACGTCACAAAATATGACTCTAAAATTTCACTAAGCGACAAACTTTTTTATTTTCAACTTTTTCCACATACATGCTGCGAAGCAAAGAAAGAAGAAACATTCAAAAAGTTTTTAAAGTAAAAATCTTTTATCTCCGATGTATAGTTTTTTTGCTATGAATTTTACAAAATCGCGTAATCTCGAAAATTCAGGCTTAGCGTGCACGGGATCGGCGTCAGCGGCTTGTCGTTTTTACGCCATTTAGTAGGTACGATTTTGTAGCTGAAAATATTTTTTTCTACAAACGTCACTAAAAGTGTCATTTTTAACGGATGCTGTCAGTGTCTAAAATGCCATTTTATGACACTGGTGTTAAAAGTGATTACTTTTAGCACTTGTGTTTATTTTTGATTTTTGCACTAGTTACAGCTACACTCATCACAACATTTCAGCCCCTCCTCAATGCAGGTGCATTTTGAATTCATGCAGTTCTTACCTGCACAATATAAGCTTGAACCTTGTCTTATAAATTGGGGCACTGGTTGTTGGCTCGAAAAGACTGAATTCCAATTCTCATTTTCCAAGATCGAACCATTACATTGGGGATCATTAGACCCCATCTTTAGACATGACAAGAGAGAGGGGGGGGGGAAGACGGGACAAATTCCCGGCGCCCGTAAGAACTGGGAGGCCCGGGTTCATGGGTTCACAGTGAAAAAACAAAACCAAATTCTTTGCTGATACATGCACCTAAAATTTTATGATAAAAATAAAATCAAACTTTGAATGATAAATGAAATTATTTACTCACTTAAGAAAATGTTGATAAAAGGCCGTGTTAGTTGGTGGCAGTTCTGATGATGGCTTATTGGTTGTTGTAGCCATACGCCAGCGTAATTCATTGATTGTTTTTATATAGCAACAACACGTATTTTGTAGCCAGCTTCAATACTTTATTCTTTGAGAGAAGGGGTAATGCCAAATATTTTAGTTAGGATGGTTCTTTTTTAAGATGTCAAAACAGTATTTTTTCCAACTTTATAAAAAGCACTAGTAGCGCCTCATCCGGTTAAGGGGATTGAATGCGCCCCGATGCCAAAATATTTTTTCCTGCGCGAAGCACCTAACGCAGTCTATCATTGTATTCTTCCCCCCCTATTAATACTCCTTAGTGGGAATGAGATGAATGAAACAAGGAATACCTTGCGTTCAGGGGCGGATGGGGCTCCTCAGACCGGCGCGGGAAGTCGATTGAAACGGCGCCATGCCTGTCCAGCAAAAAAAATTGAAAAGCACTAGCGAAGCGATTGACTTCTGCGCATACCCTTCTGTTGAGTTGAATAAATACAAGACGACGAAATTACTCTATTTGCCGAAAATCGGAGCCGCGCCGCTCGAGGCCTGTTCTCACAGAACTCACATACCAGTCACAGCGTTTTTGATTGGTGCAAATTGCCAAAAACCAGTTTTCTGACTATTTTCAACCAATAAAATTCGTTCTGACTCTGACTGGTTTAGATTTATGTGAGAACAGATCTAGTGTACTAGTTTAAGAGCTCAGAGCCGCCAGACACAACTTATTTTCTAAAGGACAGAATATGTGGGATTGAGTAGCACTTATAGGTACTATGAACGTATGTATACTCGTTAAGTTGGGTAGACGGCCAATTGACTGTTATTTTTAAATAACGGTTTTTCCTATTGTGCGAAAAACCTAATCCCATTTCCACTCTAGCCTGGAGTAGATTGTAAGTTTAAGAGGGGGAAATAGATATCTCGCTCACTCTCAAACGCATGCATAGTACCCTCGCGCTCACACTCCCGGAAAAATTATTTTGCGTCTGGGGGGATGCTTGGCCGGTGCGATTGGTCTGGCTGAGCACACGTAGTTATGAAATAGTCTCCCCAATACCATATATAAAAATCAAGCGTTAGAAAAAAAGTTAAAAGCTTTCTTCAGCTTTCGCACCTGGTGATGGTAAATTGGCCATCTACCCGACTTAGCGGGTATACATACGTTCATAGTACATATAAGTGCTACACAATCCCACATATTCTGTCCTTTAGAAAATAAGTTGTGTCTGGCGGCTCTGGGCTCTTGGACTATACGAAGACGACGACGAAATTACTCTGCTCGCCGAAAATCTGCGCCGGGCCGCTCGAGTACGCAGACGAGACTCTCTTGTTGCCCCTTTTTTTCTACTCCATTATGCATGCAATCTGGAATAATAAAAAGAGGCAAACGAACGCAAATATACCTCAAAACGGAACATAGCAAGCATTGCAACGTGCCATGAAACATTTAGGGTAGGTTACTCAATAGCGGGTCACCTCCGGGAGTGTCTCTCGCGAGCTCACCGCGAATGCTGCCAGAGACAAAGCGCCGCAGACGCGAAATTTTTGGGTGCCACGCCCCTTTTTTAGGTCTTTTTACGGTATTTTTGAGACTATTTTAATTTTGAAGAATTATTTACAAAATTTAAAGGTATTTGGGGGGGGCAAATGCCCCCTTGCCCCCCCCCTGGCTACGCCAGTGGCAGCAGGGTAAACGTGTCCAGTTGTAATGTTTACCCTGGAGTTATGCTTAAACCGGGGGTGACTTGCTATTGAGAAACCGGCCCTTAGGAATGGTATGGGCGATTACGGCATTGACATGCATACTTATGATTTACAGAGTTCCAGAGTTGCAAAGTTGACAACTGCCAAATCAATTGATGAATTAGCTATCTGGCTTGTTTTGCTTTTTCAATCATTCCGAACTTCCCGCGGCCACGCCAATCGGCGCCTGAAGGACCGGCGCACCGGGAAATCTCCCGGCGTCCCGGTGGGCCCATCCGCCCCTGCTTGCGTTCTTAGTTTCAACGTAACCTTTTAGCAGTTGAAGTTATATCAAATTTCTTTTTTGCATTCGATTTATAATATAGGGAAGAATGGCTTTTTAGAAATCCGGTAATAGAAACGAGTTCTCGAAAAATTACAAAAATGTAATTTAAACTGGAAAAAAACGAGGAAATTAATCAATTTATGGTGTCTTTTTTATTTAGCGCCAATCTTATGTGTGTTAGCAATACAATAGCACAAACCAGAATCCCAAAAATCATCTAGTTTTTTTTGTAGAAATTTACTTAATTCTTCTTGTCATTTTGCCTGTCTC